CGCGAGGTAAATAAGTCTTCGAATTGGGACCAGCTTTTGATGGAGCCCGGTGTGAGATTTTGGTACCAGGTGCGAACTACCCCTTTGAACATATTGGAGAAGGCCACACACATACAAGACTCATCAGCCCTAGCTAGATGCATCTGAGACTGGAAAGAGTCCACATAGTCATTGGGTCGAACGACCCATCGTACTTATCTAAGGAAGGCATCTTGAAGTCTTTAGGCATTGGAATTGCTAAGAGCTCGGGAGACAGAAAGGACGACCGACAAAGCAGTGGAGGCACGATTGCAATATACATCTACATGTCATTAATCCAATAATCAAATATAATGTAGCATTTATATATGCTTCCATGTGGCATATACGAATGTCATGACATATGAACTGCCCCAAATCCGAAAATTGGGACTTTTACTTAGACTTTGAAATCACAAATCCTATCCTATGACAAGCCTATACCGTGTGAAAGAACATAAGATAAGGGAATCTACTTCAAATAATAGGAATATATAAAATAAAAGATGGTGTTGTCATGGGTGACAACTCTTATCCAATTGGTCACTCAACCTATCTGGTCCCAATTAATCATTAAAAAAAAGAAAATAAACTATGGGTTCAATCGGATCAGGTCTATAAATTTATGACCCGATAAGAATGGGATAGGTGGCACATTTGAAATCTATGATGGGAAATATTTTAAATTCACAAAAACTTACAACCACTCAACCAATCAAATGGCTTTTATCAAAATTGAAAGGGATTTGTGATTGGTCAAAGCCTTTTCTGGCAATGTATGCTGTGTGAAAAATGCTCTAAAGAAATTGGCATGGAGTGCTCCATGCTTGAGGCATTCTGATTGATTAGGGCACATTATTTGAAAACTGACAAGTGACAAGACAGCAATGACACTTTGATCAATAAGCATCACAAACTGTGAATGTTTTGCTAATGAAAGGCCCTCTCTATGTTTGAATAAAAACCTGAATGAAGTATTTTTCTTTTTTTCTTTCCCGATAAAGAAGCTATACAATACAAATGGTTATTATTTTAGCCTTGGGTGTTCCTCTTGAATGATTATTTTAGCCTTTTGCAAGTTTCAAATAGGGATGGGGAGATCTCACAGCATATGCACCTCTTTGTCATCTACTTAAAAGTCTTATAGAACCTTCTATCGGCATGAATCATGATCCTGCGACCTGAATCTACTCGTAAAAAGGTGAACCCACCACCTTAATGAGAACGGTTGTCATATTAGCTAGAGCTTGGCAACCAATTTAGATCGATGACACTTTCGGTGCTCTAAGCTTTGCTGCAAATATTCTCCACAGTGTGATGGACCCCTCTCCTCAGAATCCCAACTGTTGGAAGTTTCAAAATTTCACTTCAAAAATGCACAAATAATATTGCTCTTTAGCCACATGGCAGACACCTACTGTGGTGTTTTCCGTGTAAAGAAATTCTGATGATGTGGCAAAAATGTTGACCGCTCTAAGGTTGCCAGTTCAGCTTCTACTTGGAAATTGAATCATCTCAACCTAGTTGATCAACTAAGGGGCTGTTCACCAGTATGTAAGATTTTGTATTTTTAAAACAAATACAGTTGCCATGTCAACCAAAACAGAACCATTGGTGATGGTGGCATTTTTTTTTTGGTGTTAAAAAATAAAACCACACACGTTGGCAAACACCCCCTAACTCTGTGTGGTAATTGTTCTCTTATCAAAAAGTAAAAGAAACCAACCATGCATGTTGTCGAATATCCACTAAAATAGTAGTTAAATTGTTGAGGATGAAATTAATGGGGATAAAAGATCACTTTTAAAAAGAATAGTCATGGTTTTCAAAACCAGACCACCAGACCAGATGGTCGGATCCGAAAAATTGGGAATTGATTTCCGTTTTTTTTTTAAATTGTTTTTTGGTCAAAAACCGTTGATTTAGTCAACGAATTATTAATTTAGGCGGTCGAACCATTGACCCGGATAACATTTTTTTGGCTGTTTTTTTGTACTATCCGTTTGAATTGGACGATTAAACTGTTTGACCCAAAAACTGAACCCTAAAATAGTCCCCTGTATGGTCCAATTTTAAAAAGCAAAAACCTTAAGAATAACTATCAATTGGCATATGAATAGTTCTAGAAAACAATGACTTTATGTAACTCTTAACTCTTATTCTTTGTGGTTTGCACTAGCTCTATACCCTTTTCATTGTACTTATCACATCTTCCCATAGTCGGTGCTGTAGATGGTCTTCTTTTCATTGACCAATCATTCTGATATAAAGCCCTTATTTTAGGTTCATTCAAATAAGTGTATCTTTAATCATATCTTTTTTTTCCACTCATTCATCTCTATATTTGCATCTCTAACAGTCATTTTTTCTGACGTTGACTGCCCAACACTGTTTCATATGAGCCTGGATTCCCTACTCACAGAATTCTGTGTGCACACCCAAAAAGCATTGGCATCCACCAGCATATTGGGAATAACTCTGTATATGTATGTTAAATTCATGGAGAGATAAATTTATCATGAATATATCTTCTTCATTTTATCTATTCTGCTCTAATTCTTCAAGAGAAATGTAAAAACATAATGGGAATAATAAAATTTACAATTAATGAAAGATAAAAAATATAAAAATACAAGACAGCATTTTAATCAACTAGTTTCAATTGAATGCCTTGATTATGGAGAAATTATCTACTCCAACATTATTCCAACTAATTTGCCTGATTGCAAGCCAACCCATTGGTTGGGTTTTTAAGTTTTAACTTCAAACATATTGTTAAGGCGATTATTATTAAGGCTATGTTTTGTTTGAAAAAAAAAAAGGTAGAGAAAGGTAGGGAAAGGAAGGAAAAAAAAAACTTATACAAAATTTGTAAAAGTTTCCCTATTTTTTTCCTTCAAACCAAACATAACCTAAAATTAATCGATCGGCATCAAAGCCTTTTCAGCCTTTTTCCTTTGTACAAAGACGACTTAATTCGTTGTTTCTATTGTATGCATTAGTCACGTCAACTATACATGAGAGAGAGGGAGGTGGTCGACGAAAGAAGCTATTTACTAACACCGGGTTCACCATAACAAGTAAATGTAATGGTTGCCTTAGATTTCATGAAGGGGCCGACTGCAGAATCATCACTTTTTGAAAAGTCTGTAAATGGTGAGCAATGGCGTTGTTCAAACGCCCAGTTTAATTGATGAGGCGTATTGCAAAACCCATTAGACTTAAAATGGGTGTCACATCCTAAATATAGTATAATTTCAAAAATCAAAATCAAAATATATTAAGTGCCACATCAGAATTTATTCTTACCAAAATGTTTATTTCTAGTTGTTTAGGCTTATACTCACTTCACGTTACTGCTGTTAGAAGAGAAAAAAAGGGAGAGAAGAGAAGATTTGGAGTTAAAAGACAGTGCTGCTGTGCTGGTGGTGCCAATATTTATTAAGGGACAAAATAAAAGAGAGAAAGTACAACAGTACCCTAGTAGTCGACTACAAGTAAATCTCTTTGTTTAATAATCAACTACTAGGAATAATCTTCCTCTAGTACTAGAGAAACACTCTGCATCTAGTAGTCGACTACTAGGAACAAGCTTCGTCTAGTAGTTGATTGCTAGGAATAGTATACTACTAGTAGTTGACTACTAGCAACAGAGTACATCATTTCAACATACTCTAATTGTTGCATTGTTGAATAAGGCAAACAGCAACATCAAAACACATCGGACCTGCTGGTTACCTATTAATGGGATCAATTGCTAAGTCCCCAAATAAACAAGATCATATATGCGCCTCACAAACGCCCTACGTGCACATCTCAGCATGCATTGGAAACATCTCTCGAATTTGTCAATTGGAGATGCTCCCGATACATGGTTGGGATATGCTGCATGTGGGGCATTTGTGGGGCACCCTCTGTGGGGTGTAGATGTGAATTCCAAATAAACCCCTTTCTAAATATTATATGTAGTTTGTGTTTACATGCTCAAAGATAGTGTTTTAGGTCAGGTTGTCTATGTATGAATTTGGCACTTTAAGAATAAACTCCGAAAGTCCAAAAAAAATGACCATTGAAACATCTTGGTAATTGCATACATACACACACACACATAAAGAGAGAGGAATCTCAACTGAGTCCGAATCTACTGACCCTGACCACAACACATTGCTAGCCACATCCACACAGCTGCACATATGAAACACCAGTTGTTGTACTCTCAACATGCGGCTGGATGAGCATGACTAGCAATCTGTTGTGGTCAGCAGATTTGAACTCATCTCAACTCCCCATTCAGGTCTTGATGCGTCAAGTGTTTGAATCCTATATGGGTATGAGACCCCATTTGTAATGTTTTATTTATTATTGATTTTTAGTTAACCACTTAACCATGTTACAGCCCGGCTTTAAAATTTTCAAAGCCCAAGTTTAGGTTTATACCCATTAAAAATTTGACAAATCTCCAATCCAACTTGACTTGCATTCTTATTCGATCAATATCCAGCAATGGACCCCGGCAATAAGTAATAACTAGCATATCTCCACACAGCGAAAACCACCTTGAAATCAAACACCACATAAAATGGTCCATTATAGACCTCATTATCCCACTTGACCCAGTGTCTCGACATTAGAGCCATTGGGAACATAGTGGGTCAATTACCTTCTTCTTTTTAAAAGATTCCCAAAGGACCCAAAACACACTTCTCTTGATAATTTTGAGAAAGGATTAAGAGGAGTGGTTTTGGGAATCTTTGGGAAAAAATAGTATACACATAGATGCTAAACAATTAAACAACTTCCCCCTTAATCTCTCTCTCTCTCAAAATATAAATCACTAACTAGGTCTTTTAACCCTAAAAGAAAAATGATGAACATGGTGCCGTGGGGGCTTATAATACCCAAAATTAATTAATCCCTTTCTCTCTCTCTCTGGGCCCCGCAAGTGTGAATAAATAAAGACTCTTCGGGGGTGCTGGAGGGTGTCTCTAAGCAGGAAGAGCAGTGCATGTCGGTCATCTTTGAGAGACTCTATCCTCATAGTGTCGACATGGGCTGCGAGGAAGAGACATTGGTACAAAAGATATGTGAGATCTACCACCAGATCTCCAAGCTGGAGTCCCTAAAGCCATCCAAGGATGTCAACACTCTCTTCACACAGCTTGTGCTCACATGCATACCAGAAAGCTCCATTGATGTCGACAAGTTGTGTGAGAACGTGCAGGACATTCGGTCCAAGCTCATTAGACTGTGTGGGGAAGCTGAGGGCCTCCTGGAAAGCCATTACTCCACCATCTTAGGATTCAGTGGTGACAACCCTATTCACCACCTCAACATCTTCCCTTACTATAACAACTACCTTAAGCTCAGCCAACTTGAGTTCAACATACTCACCGGCCACTGCACTCATCTTCCCACTCAGGTCGCCTTTGTGGGATCTGGTCCCCTTCCTCTAACCTCCATTGTTTTGGCCTCCCTTCACCTCAGGACCGCCACCTTCCACAACTATGACATCGACCCGTCGGCCAACTCCCTGGCCCATCGCCTGGTCTCCTCTGATTCTGATTTATCAAACCGAATGTTCTTTCACACTACTGATATCATGACTGTCTCCAGTAGCCTCCGGGACTACGATGTTGTCTTCTTGGCAGCTCTGGTGGGCATGGACAAGCAGGAGAAGACTCGAATCATCGATCACCTGGCCAAGCACATGGCCCCTGGATCCCTCTTGATGCTGAGGAGCGCCCATGGTGCTCGAGCTTTCCTCTACCCTGTTGTGGATCCTGACGATCTCCACGGCTTTGAGGTGTTGTCCGTCTTTCACCCAACTGACGAGGTCATAAATTCGGTTGTTATTGCCCGTAAATACACAAACAATAAGCCCATCGTCCATTCACTGGACCAGCAGGGCCTAGCAGTTGCAGGCTCCATCATCTTCCCTAGTAAATGTTCTGAGATCGAAGCCTTCAATCCCCTCAACCATGGGAACATGATTGAAGAACTGGCCGTCGAGGAGCAACTTTCTTGAGCTCTGTCTCATCCCTTGATCATCTTCTCTCTTCCATCAGTAAAAACCCAGTTGAAATTAGTGCCCTTCCCTGAGCTAATTGCTTCATATATACATATATACTTGTCTTGTCTAACTGATCACTATGGATTTGCATCGTCAAGTTTCCTGAGAGTGTATGTTGTGTCTTCATTTGCATCTTATATATGAGTTATGTCCTATGTCGTCGTCTAAAGAAATAAAACACCCAGTTGCTATATGTACTGAAATTTTCCTTTCTTTAGCTTTCTTTTGCTTTTGAAGAAACAAAACAAGATCGATCGATGTTCTATATATATGATTAAGTGCATTTTCTAGCATGGATGCATCATGTTGCATCCCCATGCATGATGTAATGAATGCTTTTTGTGTATGGAAGAATGAATATGGATATGTCATATGTGATGAAACAAATATATTAAAGAACTTGTGCCATGTATTTGCTGTTATTTTCATTGTGTTAAGACTGATCAATTAGAAAAAGAAAACGTTCAGAAGGATTTTAATTTTCAATACCAATTAATACATAGTGTTCTCACGTACACTTGCAACAAATTTACTGGATTATTCATGGGGAATTCATCCATTCAACCCTCCTCGGATCTTAGTTTGACTTTGATTCAGTGACCCAGAAGCTTAAGACTTGGGGATATCCGAAAGCAGACAACAGCCGAACTACATGCCTACACTCTGTATGTGTTGATGCCTTGATTTTTTTTTCTTTTCCATCCACTGCTTTATTGCCACAGTTTTTGAGTAAAGTTAAGACTATATATGATACAATTATTAACCTAGCTACCTTATCAGATCATATCCTCTATAGTTCAAAACTACAATTTTCAACCTCCCTTTGATTTCTACGTAGGTGGCTTACAATAATTCTCTGTGGATAAGTTATGGTTGCAGCCGTAGATTCCTTTGGGACTTCAATCCCTTTCATTAATTCCTTCTGCTACCAATGAAAACCATTGTTGTTCACTTACTCATGTCTTCTTTTTCACTTGTGAAGTTCTAAGATTTTAGTTGAGAATACTGGCTAAGCTCAAATGTTCTGGGCAAGAATACACACATGTATCATTGGGTATGACCTAAAATATTTATAGATTTTCGTCTTCTGGTAGTTAATTTCTCCTTGTTTGTTGATGTTCATGGTTTTTCTTATTAATCACAACCTGGATTCTCAATGTTGTTACTGCCCTTCATATCTTCAAATGTGCAGCAGTTTCTGATAGCTTTCTCGAATATGAGCACTAATGCATCCATCCAAATTTCAATTATGGTAACTATATGTTTTTCTTTTTTCTTATCTCTATTTCCTTTAAACCAGATGCTTGTATGGGAGCAATTACTATATATGCAGATGCTGGCCCCAGGCTTTCTCTTTCATTATTGAAACACAATGTTGTTCGTTAGCTTATTAATGTTCACATGGATTTACCAAATTCACATTCCTGATAGATTTTTCTTTTGTAATTGTAGTGCCCAGATGCGATGAAATTCAGTCACCAGTTCATGCTTCTGCAGATTAATTAATCTTGCTATATATATGAGGGGGTTGTATTACTGGTTTTTGCTAGCAAGATAATTCCTTCATGACTAGAGGTAAATTTTTGTAGTAGGTGATCTTTGTTCTTTCCTCCTATGTTTGGTGTCCGGAACCTGATCAGACTATTGAATTATGTTTATTGTGGGAAAAATGGGAAGAAAGGGGATCTGAGAGGTTATATTGGAGTTTCATTGTTTCACCTAACTGCTGTCTTTTGTTGCACTTTGTGTCTCAACACACAATCACATATTCCCATGATGCTCAACAAGTTTCTTGATAGCTTCTCAATCAGGCTGCACTATATACCCTTCGGAGAGGATCAGGCTGCCATACTTCCCTTGATTTCCTCTAATAATCGAGGGGGAGGAGAGAAAGGAACAGTATGAGAGAGAGAGAGCTTGTGCATTCTGTGTTTCATTTTCAATCTTTGCCACTGTGTTCATGTTGCCATGCATTCACCCTGATGAATAAATGTCTTACATTTCAAGCGACCTGTTACAAGAAAAATGGGGTACAATGGAGAGGGTTTTATGAGCCAAACGTGAGCACAAACCCCTACTAGTATATAGTGGTTAGGACAAAAAATGCTGGAGAGTCTAAGGTAATGGAGCCCTAGGCCCAAAACAATGCAAAATTTGAGTAGTGTATACTCTGTCAAACACATTCCTTGTGGAAGTGTAGGCCATGTTTGGTCCAATTCTCATTCTTTCTCATTCTTACCCAAGATAAAATTCTAAAATGGACAAGAATGGGTAAAAATAGGCAGAATGAGAAAATATTGCTATGAACCAAACACTTTTTTCCTAAAAATGAATTCTTTTCAGACTGACAAGTGTCCTATGTTGCTCATTTTCATTATCCAAAAAAAAAGTGTCGGTATTCATAAACTGGCAGCCTAGGTCTCCAACAGTCAATGTTCACCGGTTGGCTTAGATGTTTTGTAAAAGTACTTTCACAAAAGTGCTTTCATAAAAGTACTTTCATAAAAGTTCTTTCATAAAAGTGCTTTTATAAAAATTATTTCATAAAAGTGCTTTTATAAAAGTGCTTTCATAAAAGTGCTTTTATAAAAGTGCTTTCATAAAAGTGCTTTTATAAAGTGCTTTAGTAAAGTAATTTTGTAAAAGTGCTTTCATAAAAGTGTTTTTATAACAGTGATTTCATAAAAGTACATTTATAAAAAGTGATATAATGTAAAAGTGCTTTCGTAAAAATACTTTACTTTCGCAAAAATACTTTTATAAAAGTGTTTTTGTAAAAGGTCTTTCGTGTAAAAGTATTTTTATAAAAGTGCTTTCATGTAAAAGTTGTTTTACAAAAGTGCTTTCATGTAAAAGTTCTTTTGCAAAAGTGCTTTCGTAAACGTTCTTTCATATAAAATTTCTTTTACAAAAGTGTTTTCATAAAAATACTTTTGTAAAAGTACTTTCGCAAAAGTAAACATCTATGGCATCAGTTTTGTAGGCAAAGTTTCCTCAAAGAATGAAAATGAGCATGATGGGGCATGATTATTTTTCATGTTGTAGGCTACTCAATTTTTGTGCTATGGCGTTGTTTTTTCATTCTAAAAAGAATGTAGCCCATGGCAAGAATTTTGTAACCCAACACTCTAATGTTATTCATTATTGCCCATTCTTGCCTAGAATGAACAGAATTAAAAGAATGAGGCCCAGAGCAGTGAATCAAACATGGTTGTAATATCCAACAGTTGGGGTGAAAAAAATGCTAGGCGAGTCTAGGGTGGAAACAAATTTTAATTTGACCATACATTGTCTGTACAGGGGTATTTTTGGTATCTATGCATAATATACATACATAACTCCCAATTGTACATATATTAGGGAGAGAGATGGAGGAAAACCTAATTCAATGAAAATGTATTTTGGGTGCAAATCCAATATTTCCATTGAGAATAATGACTTTGCAGAGATTCATCCATGGATGTAGGCAAAAATAACCTAACCGTGTTTAGTCTTGTGTATTTTCCATTTTGCATTATATTTTGTATTTTCTTAAGTTCTGGCACAGGTGACAGGAGAGTACATTTTTTTTATTACAGGATGTTCTTGTGGTTTCCATTGATTGTGTGAGTAATTTCTAGGGTATACTCAGTAGCATCCAATTGAGTAATTGATATAACTATTACGTACACATAACATTGTCAAAATAAAATAGTATAGTATATTGAGTGACTCAATTACATGAACTAAGTAATGAAACTTATAACATTAAATGGATTCCCAGGAGCTAATTATGGTTGTATTTAATTAGTACCATTGTTGTTTCTACTTGAAACATTTTGGGTTGATCAATGCAAATTGGTGAGAGGTATGTATTGTCCTCACACCACATGTGAGAGCTATTTCAACTAGAATGATTAGATTCCACCCCCTAGAAACAGTATCTCGCATATGTATTTTTAAGGTATGTCTATTTCAACCATAAATAGCTTCAATTCATCAACCCCAAAACATTTCAGGTAGAAACAGCAATGATACCAAACATAAGCTACAAGTATAAGTAGGTTGTGCATGGAAAATTTTTAGTTAAGCTTCCGACATCACTCTCATTCACTCTATTTGTAATAAACCTCACAATTCATTGTTTGACCTTCTTTGCGATAATGGGAATTGCATATTACAGATCTTTCTAGAGCTATTGACAGTTTGATCATTAGCATTATTATGAACAATATTTTTTCTTGCTAGGGGGAAAATCTATGATACAGAAAAGATATGACATGGGTTTTGACCAATCAAAACCCACCCATGAATTTTGATAAATAACACCCGATTCGCTGCCATATTTATGATTACAGTTTATTGGTCAGTTGTTTTTCGAATATCATATCTTTTCTATATCATAGTCGAAACCCTTGGTAGGGCTATATATGTTGATGAAGTTTGTCTAGAATATAGGTCTTTTTCATTCTGTTTGATATATAAGCTATATAATACTTTTCATAAAAGTGTTGACTTGTTTTCATGCTATAGAACATTATCAATTACAATTTAATCACCTTAATTTTTAACCAAATCAAATGAGGATGACACCTCCCTTTATTTATCTATGAATCATGCATGTAATACACAGAAACACCTTAAATAAAAGCAAAAACAAAGCAATATAAAGCCTTATTCATTCTACTTCTCTAGCACCAGTGGAAAGCTCTTCCATATCTATTATAGTTTATCTTCTCCATCTACTAAAGCATCTTTGAGATTGCTACACTTCCTTTCTTTATTATTTTCATTCCATGCATGTAACAGGCTTTTGACCATCCCATATTAGGAGGCATGAAGCTTGATTATCAACTTTGACAAGCATATGAAATCCTATTCAACACTATTAAACTACACCAGTTGGCTGTTGCTAGTCTAATTTCTTTTTGGTTGTTGGTGATTTGATCCAGACAAACATTCTATGAATTCCTAGTCAGTCGTCACTCATCAGAAAACTAATTGGATTAATCCCATCTATTACCGATTAATTGGATTAATATTTTATAGAAGCGCATGGTTTCCAATAAGGTTGAAAGTATTGATACGCCCTGTGTATCGGTAGAGGCGTATCAGTACTAAAAAGCACATGGGGTAAACTACAAAGACCTAACAGCTAAAGTATAGGGGGTCTTTGTTGCAAAACAAAATATAGAGAGGTCTTTGTCACAGACCCCATACTATGGGGTGTATCGTATCAAAATTTGGTACGCCCAATACAGAGTGTATCGTATCAAAATTTGAACTTTGGTTTTCAATTTCCATCACTCAATGTATCTAGTTTAAATCCAATTCTTCCAAGCTACTTGCTTTTCAATGACAAACACCAAACAAGTATATATCCTCTGTTGGCACATCCAGTTTTGCTTTCTTCATGGTGGGATTAAGTGTTATTTTCATTAAACATGGTGAGCCCTACTTTATTAAGCCATTGATTTCCCAATGACTATATCCTGATAACCCATTTGAAATTGATACGGTTGGCTTGCTTTGTACCTCCCTCCAACATTTCCACTACTAGAACATCCTATCATCCTGATGAAACAACTCTTTGAGTCGACACATTTTCCACATTTCATCAACCAGGGTAGTAAAGGGGATAGAAGAACTTGGGGTAGACCAAAAAGTAGATGAATAGAAATAGTAAAAAATGATTTAAGCAGTAATAATTTAACAATGGATATGGCTATATATAGAATGAATTAACGAAACAGGATTCATGTAGTCAACCCCATATAGTTGGGATAAGGCATTGATGATCATGATCCACCAGGGTAGTAGATAGATCATGGGTATCCACCAATCCAGTGAAACAAGGAGAAATATTGAAACCTATATGCCACATCTAAGGTCTCCCAAATCCCGATGAGAGTCTAATGTATCGGCAAATCATTTATGTTCCAGGAAATCATGTCCTCAAAAAAAGAAAAGAAATAATAATAATAATAATAATATCGTCTCTGGTTTGAATATCCATATACCTATAATAAAATAGAGAGTTTCACACTCTCTTCTTTCGTCCACGATGTAATTTTTGTTATTCAAATTTGTCCTTAAAAATTTCTAAAATTTTTTTCTCTACTAAGTATCTATACATCTATATATCTATATAATATTTCATTAAATTTTTAATTATTTACAATAATACCATTATATAAGATAAATGTAATCATAATACTTTTTCCCATTTGATATTTATTACAGAATATCTAACTATTTATGGTCATGCCACCATATAAAACAAAAACAATGAAAGTCATCATCTCTTTCTTTTCTCTCACCAGACGACTCTCTCTCTCTCGGGTCCAATATTTAGGATTGTCAATGGATCAGGTCTGGTATAAGATACCCTATACCAGGAACCAGCCCATCCCAATAAACCTTTATTTATTTATTTATTTATTTTATTAAAATAAATAAATTATTACCTTTAAATTTTTATTTATTTAATTATTTAAAAATAATTTACTAACAAATTATTATTAATCCAATATTTAAGACTGCAACTATAGGTCGGGTCTAGTAATTTCAAATATGTTTAGGGATAATGAGCCCTAAAGGTGGCCACTGGCCAGACCATAAGGCCCACAAATTTCCTGTCCTGGAGTAGGATTTTCTGTCCAGGACTGACCTTTTGTCTGGGTGCCATCAACGGGATTCTTAACCGAGTTGAGTACTTACTACTT